GGCAGCGGGATTTGCATTGTTGTTCCATACGGGAGTGCAGCCTGTGGGGACGCTCAGAGCCGGGGAACAGAGAGCACAGATTTTAGGCCAGTATGAGAGAGAGAGGGGGGAACAGCTTTTGTTTGATGTCCCCGGACATATGAATGGCCACCCGGGGCAAATTCTTTACCTCCGGGACCCCGAAACACTGCGCGCACTCACCTCTCACCCCTCCAGCCAGGTAGGTGCTCCAGTACAGCCGTTGTGTGTGGCGGGGACGAAAAAACATTGTGTACTGCAATAGTTTGTTGTGTTAACTATCTGGCAGTGTGTGGATGAGTGACGCAGAACAAGAGGATAATGCGTGCAATCAAGCGTGCCCGCCGCGCACAATACAATCTGGGCAATTAAATGAGATGCTTCTCCCAGCTTGTGAGCAGCAGCAAAGCCTCTTATTTACTTCTCGCTTTAATTATGATTTCTCTTCTTAAGCTGTCAAGTCAGTCTGAGCGGAAAGGTTAGCGGCAGCGTTTTAATCTTCCCCAGAATTCTCAGGACTGTTTTTTTCCAAAGAATTTGCCGTCATTTGTGTCCCATCTGCTTGCCAGTCCCTCCCAGGGGGGTCCCGTTCTGCAGGTCAAGAATTCATGTGTTGTCCGCTGTATCCGCAGAGCCCTTCCATCCCTGGATAAGATGATGTACAATGTCCCTTATCATGTGATTTATAACATGTTATGTGCTCAACCCAAAAGTGTAACATGCGTGTCTTCTCCTTGCAGGTATACAAATGCTTTCAGTTCAGCCAGACACCAAACCGAAAGGTTGTGCTGGCTGCAACCGTAAGATCAAGGACCGCTACCTGCTAAAGGCCCTGGACAAGTACTGGCATGAAGACTGTCTGAAGTGCGCATGTTGCGACTGTCGTCTCGGAGAGGTCGGATCCACCTTATACACCAAGGCCAATCTCATCTTGTGCCGGAGGGATTATCTGAGGTGACGGCATGTTTCAATATATGTTTTTAAAATCCTGACACTACGGTCTGCGTTCCGGACTCTGTACCATCCACTCATATATCTGAGCTCTGTACATTCTAGTCTGTCTGTCTCTCAATAACCTCCTGAACTGTCATCTAGGTTCCTCTGTCGTTTGATCCAGGTCCTTCTCTACTTCTATACAGGTCACCCTGACCTTCCATCCGGGTCCTTCTGTCCAGTTCCCTCTTTTCTTTCATCATCCCTCTGTCCTTCCATCCAGGTCCCTCGGTCCTTCCATCAGGACCCCCTGTCCTTCTGTCCAGTTCCCTCTTTCCCTTTATCATCATTCTTCTGTCCTCCTGCTCTTCTATCCAAGTCCCTATGTCCTTCCATCCAGGTCCCCCTGTCCTTCCATTCAAGTATCTCTGTCCTTCCATCCAGGACCCTCTACCCCTCCATGCAGGTATCTCTGTCCTTCCATCCAGGTTCCAATGCCCTTCCATCCAGGTTCCTCTGTCCTTCCATCAAGGTCCCCCTGTCCTTCCATTCATGTATCTCTGTCCTTCCATCCAGGACCCTCTACCCTTCCATTCAGGTCCCTCTGTCCATCCATTCAGGTATCTCTGTCCTTCCATCCAGGTTCCAATGCCCTTCCATCCAGGTTCCTCTGCCCTTCCACCTGGGTTCCTTTGCCTTTTCACCAAGGTTCCTCTGCCCTTTCATCCAGGTTCCTCTACTCTTTCATCCACATTCCACTGCCCTTGCACCTGTTTCCTCTGTTTTTCCATCCAGGTCCTCCTATCCTCTCATCCAAGTCCCCCTGTCCCTATATCCAGGACCCCCTGCCCTTCCATCCAGATTCTTTTACCCTTTCATCCAAGTTCCTCTGCCCTTCCATTTAGGTTCCTCTGCCCTTCTATCTAGGTCCCTCTGCACTTCCATCCAGGTCCCTCTGATCTTTCAGCTGTGTGCAGTCTGAACAGATTACAAAACTATTATTCACCAAGCAGGTAAAGTGGCCACTTGACTAAGGCAGCAGGATTCAGGGGGTCCAGCAGAGACAATATACTGAATAGTTGGTGATTGGCTTGCGGTTACTGATTCAGGGTGCGCAGGGTGACATCAGCTGGAAATAATCCTTATCAGTGGGTCATTTTCTGTGTCCTTTGATACGACCAGGAACATCCCATCCGTATTTCATGTCCTACACACAATGCAGCCAGCAAACTGTTGGTCTTCCACTCTGTCACTATCCTACCTTTAATTCCTTATAACAGTATATGTTGAGTAATATGAAAAGGTGAAGGACTATGCAGCCAAGGACAGGATAAAATGATGAAGTTTTATAATCCTTAGTGTTGGGCTTCAATGCAGATGGTGTACGGCGCCCCCCGGAGGAAAGATGGCGGAGCTGCATTTATGGAGATGTATGGATAAGGAGTCTATTAAGGCTGCTGTTGTGTGTGGAGTTCTCCGTCTTTCTCTGATGTAGTAGCTTGTTTATGTTGTGTGTTTTGTGTGTCCCCTTTCACCCCCCCGCCCCCCCATGTCAAGTGCATCAGCTGAGCTGACAATCAGTTCCCCTAAGTCTTACTTCAGTTCCTCATACAAAAAAACTGTGCATATCTCAGTGTTGTTTTTATTATTGGGTTATTCGGGCATTCGCTGTAACTCTATGCAGGCAGTGCCAGCAACTTCTACCAAAAAAGTGATTTTTATCTATTTTTTAGAGCCGAGTGTTAACAGTAACAATAAAGGAAGCAATGAATGCGCCTTTATAATTTATGGTCATCCTTCAAACGCTCTGCAATCTGTTTGTTCAGGTGGCGATTTGGACAACCGATAGACAGGCGCTTCATCAGCTTCTCACACAGAGACAAATTTTGCTGAATTGAATTTATTCACCGTATTAAAGTAAATCTTTGTAGATCACCATAAAAACATTTGTGGAGATGAATGAAAACATACGCGGTGAGTGTAAATTGGACAATTAGTGTCTTGGTGTGAGAAGGGGATGCTGACTTCCCATCAGTCCTCACTTACTTTATATGACAGGTTTACTCTCCTTCTGGCATATGGAACAGTAGTATAGTATAGTATGGTATAGTAACGTGTAGCATTATATAGTATGATATAGTAATATGCAGCATTATATAGTATGGTATAGTAACGTGTAGCATTATATAGTATGGTTTAGTAACGTAGCATTATATAGTATGGTATAGTAATATGTAGCATTATATAGTATGATATAGTAATATGTGGCATTATATAGTATGGTATAGTAACGTGTAGCATTATATAGTATGATATAGTAATATGTAGCACTATATAGTATGGTATAGTAACATGTAGCATTATATAGTATGGTATAGTAACGTGTAGCATTATATAGTATGGCATAGTAATGTGTAGCATTATATAGTATGGCATAGTAATGTGTAGCACTATATCGTATGGTATAGTAATATGTAGCATTGTATAATAAGGAAATGCGTAGTACAGTACGACAAAGTAATTCATGGTATAGTATTGTATAGTAATGTACCATACAATATGGTATGGTACTATATAGTAAGGTAACATATTGCTTACTATTTTATAGTATGGTTTGGACATGTGTAGCACGGTATAGTATAGGAAAGGCGTTGTACTATATGATATAGTGAAATAATGTGTAATATGGTATAATAATGTGTAACATGGTGCAGCATAGTATTGTATGGTATTGTGTAGTAATGTATAGTATCATGTAGTATGGTATGGTATAGCTATGTGTAGTAGGTGTTGCACTATATGGTATAGTGTAGCTTAGTAAAATATTGTGTAGTATGGCATGCTTATATATATTATAGTAATATATTTTACAGTATGGTATAGTAGTATGGTACATCATAGAATGAAATAGTATGGTATAGTAATATGTAATTTGGTACATCATAGAATGAAATAGTATGGTATAGTAATATGTAATTTGGTACATCATAGAATGAAATAGTATGGTATAGTAATATGTAATTTGGTACATCATAGAATGAAATAGTATGGTATAGTAATATGTAGTATGGTACATCATAGAATTATATGGTATAGTAATGTGCAGTATTGTACAGTATAGCAAAGTGTGGTATGGTATGGTGTTATACGGTACAGTATAATATGGTATGGAATAGCATGCATAGTATGAAATAGTTATGTACATCTTTGTACGGCACAGAATAGCACGGTATGGTGTAGTACTGTAATGTGTGCAATAGTTTGATAATAGTATTGTAGAGCATAACTATATAATTAAGTATAGCAGAGTAATATATAGTACAGTATAGCCTGGTATTGCATACTATATCATTCAATCTTATAGTACTGTTTAGTACATTATAACATAATAATATATACTAAGGTATAGTACAGTACATAACGATATATTATATGGTAAAGTGTAGTTTGGTAAAATGTAAATTATAAATATTATTTAACAAAAATGATAACTATATAAAGTATATTATAGTAATATACAGTAAAATATAGTAGCATAAAAGGTGTCATTTAGTAATATATAGTATAGTATGGCATAGTAATACATAATAAAGCACAGTATAGTAATAGATTGTATAATATGGTATAGTAACCTATAAGATAGAGTACGGTGTAGTAATATAAAGTATGGTATAGTAAAATATAATAAGGTATAGTGTGGTATGGTGCAGTATATGATATACTACATTCATGTATAATAAATTATAGTATGGTTTAGTATAGGGGAGTATGTGTACTGTGTATATATCTTTATAGTTACATCTTTGTATATTAATATTATTCAGGATTGGTTCAGCGAATAAATGTACAATGGGGATTGGTGGAGAGTAAAATTGTACAATCAGTCCTTGGGCATGGAACGAATGTGCAATCAGGATTGATGGAAAGTGTGATTGCACAATTAGGATTGGTGCAGATAATAATTGTACAATGAGGATTGGTGCAGACTATGATTGAACAATCAGGATTGGTGCAGAGTAAAATTGTACAATCAGGATGGGGCATGGAATGATTGTACAATCAGGGTTGGTGAAGAGTATGATTGTACAATCAGGATTGGTACAGAGAATAATTGTACAATGAGGATTTGAGCGCAGAGTACAATTGTACATTCAGAACCGGGGCATGGAATGATTGTACAATCAGGATTGGTGGAGAGCAGGATTGTACAATCAGGACGGGGCATGGAATGATTGTACAATCAGGGTTGGTGAAGAGAATAATTGTACAATGAGGATTGGCGCAGAGTAAAATTGTACATTCAGAACCGGGGCATGGAATGATTGTACAATCAGGATTGGTGGAGAGTAGGATTGTACAATCAGGATTGGTGGAGAGTAGGATTGTACAATCAGGATTGGTGGAGAGTAGGATTGTACAATCAGGATTGGTGGAGAGTAGGATTGTACAACCAGGACGGGACATTGAATGATTGTACAATCAGGGTTGGTGAAGAGTATGATTGTACAATCAGGATTGGTACCGAAAATAATTGTACAATGAGGATTGGGGGAGAGTAGGATTGTACAATCAGGATTGGTGCAGAGAATGATGGCCCGGTCAAGACTGAGGCAGAGAATTATTGCACATCGTTCGCTCAGAAACGATTGTACAATCAGAATCAGTGCAGAGATTAGTAGTGACAGTGATTGTATGATTAAGATTGGTGCAGAGAATGACAACAGGTCGGGTTCAGTGTGGTATATATCGTTTAGTGCATCATTGTGCCATATGTACGTCAGGTATGGTGGCTCTGGGATGTGTTATCACTTTTCAGGTATACCATGTGCAGGACCATCAAAGTCCTGGGATTCTCGCGGGTGGGCGTCTCTATATATCAGTAATGTTCTGTGGCTTCATTATATTGGTCAGTTGGAGATTTGGTTTTATATCTTTTTTTTTGGCCACTTTTCAATGACTAACCCTTAATTATTTCCTTTCCCGATGGCTTAAAAACATTCGCTGGATCTTTTTAAAACTTG